GAAATAACTATTTAAATACTAAGCACCTACCCATGATCCATATTTTTTATTGTCGGAGCTAAACATAAATTACACACAGCAATTTCCGCCTCACCTCTGAAGCAAGGCCATCCAACTTTCTCCTTGGAGCGTACAACAATAAGTTTGATTGGGTTAGCCTACAAGTCGAATTCCAGCGAGCCCCGAAAGAACAACTGCTACGATGAAGAGTGTCAAGAATAGGGTGGTCAACAAGAAGTAAAGTCAGAATTTTAATGCTCACACCCTCTAGGATTGTTCCATAACGAAAAAAAGTTTACCCCTATTTTCTTGTTTTGAAATCAAAAAATATTTAGAGGTCCCTCAACAATTGGATATTATTATTGAAAGTCTCCTGAAGAGAAACAGAGCTCTCCGATCGAAAAATATTGATTTATAAGAATTCAATACCATTTCTACGAAAAGTTATTTTTTCCCATATAAAATACATAGAAAACTTGAAGCGCTTTGAGGGACCTCTAAATATTTATTGAGTTAAAAATAAAAAATAAAACAATCCTACGGGGTGAGAGCACAAAAATTCCAACTTTACTTATTCACATGACCACCCTAGTCAAGAAGCTACGGGCGAACTCCTGTAAGAACAACCATTGAATGGCATCAGCACTGAAATAAGTTGATAAGACGAACCCGAGCCCCTAGTAGATAACGAAGGAGTCGATGTCCCAAAGTCTAACCATGACGAGATACGAATAGCGATTATGCGGCTGACAAAGAACCAAGCTGCTGACACTGACGGCCTGCTAGCCGTGGTATTCAAGTACGGCGGCGAGGAGCTTACGCAGAATATGGTCAGATGAACGAATACGACTGGAATTTGAGTATGCTCTGCCCAATCCGCAAGAAAGGCATCCCCTCCATATGCGCCAACTACGGCGGAATCAGTCTGCTAGGCATAGTGAATACTGAAGCCCACCGTCAACGAACTGATGGGGCCTTATATGTGTGGCTTTAAACCTGGCAAATCCAGCATTCACAATTCGCCAAATCTGGGAAAAGACTGGCGAGAATAGGATCGTAACACACTATATATTAGTCGATTTCAAAACCGCTTTCGACAGCACGAAAAGAAGTAGTCTTTATACGGCGATGTCGGAATTTGGTATCCCTACGAAACTAATATGGCTGTTGAATGCCGTTGAACAATACCACCAGCTCCGTCATAATTGGGAAGGACCTCTCCGAGCCGTTTGATACCAAACAAGGTTTCAGACAAGTTTTTGTATATGCCCTCGAAGGTGGCTCAGTCGTAGTGAATCTGCGTTTTTGAATTTTTCCTAATTCAATGGGTTAAGTTAGTTTCGGCAGCCAGCTTTTATCAAGAGTTCAATTAGTACTTAACAGATATTTCTTGCTTTTCATGTGACCAATTTAATCCACACGCTAGAGGTAGCTATGTGTGTACTTTGGACTTCTTCTCATTGTTGAGAGCATTAGTCTCAGAGCGTATTGTCAGGTCGCCAACCGTGGATCACTTCACGTTCACGTACATATGTACGTAGTATTTGAAGCGAATTTGTGAAGAAACTAAATCAGCTAGAAAACTGCGGTTTGTCACATTAATAAGTACAAGCCACTGTAAGAGTCGCTAAGAAAGTAAAAATCAGTTTTTTCGACTCATGGGACCCTTTTACCTGTCCTAGAATCATATCGAGTTAGTTTTGGCCCACTTAAGACCATTGCTGATAGCCAACCTTGCGTAGATTTCCCACTGAAAACCATTGCAGTAATCTTGCTTCTTCATGGATTACGTTTAACCCCAAAACAAGCCACTACGCTAAATAAATTCTCGGAAGCAGCAGAGGCAAGTAACATCAATCAGTGCCACCGCTTCTCCATGGCTCTCAAGAAGATAGCTTCATCCGTCAGAGCCCTCGCGCCTCGCCGGCCTAAAAGACTATAAGCTGTGCCCAACGAGGATTGGACTGCACTCAATTCCAGCAGCTCTACGGGAAATACGTAGATTATGCTAGCTTCCTCCATAGAAATCGAAAGGAGCGGAAAACTAAGAACTCACTCACGCGGCAACACAATGAGTCAATGGTGTAAAAGGATATTTTTTCGTGTCCATGTCGGCTTACTTATTATTATCGTATACCCTACACAAGAATGATAGAATATATCGTAATACATCCATACATATCTATTGAGATGAAAACATTTTAATTACTCTTCGCGGGTTCAGAACTTCCACTGATTTACACATTCCTTCATATGTATATGTACATATATGCATAAGTATATGTATGTGTTGCACATGTGCATGAATAAGTGTGCCTTAAGTATCTGCTTGAGATTTAATTTCTCATTAAATTCTTAATAATACCTTAAGCACCTTTAACGTGCAGTCGTTCGAGACGTTTGGAACGCATTGGATATTTGATTTACGATTTAATTTTAATACTACATGCACATAAAAACAATGGCGTGTTTGTCAAGTTCTCAGTATTTAAACTAACTGTATTTAGACTTACATTTGTACGGGCAGTGTTGCACAGAATTCCACTTAAAAATGAGCCTCTCAACTCTTCGCAAACTTTTTTTATTCTTTAACTCAAATACGAGTATAATTCTGCGGAACATACTAGTAGGTAAAACTATTACGGAAGTTTGTCTATTAACTTACGTGCATACATACATACATAGCCTACAGATTTATATATGCAAGAATATACATACATACATAAATAAACACATAAGAACGATTGAAATTAAATACTTGTGCATAACTAAAAACTGTGAATAAATAAAATGTATTTTCATCTTCCTGTGTAATTATGAAATTATTACGTACTGTTTGCTTCGCTTGAAGTTTCTATGTCTTTTATTAAAAAATTTTAAACTATGTAAATATATAGTAAAAAATACTCAATACGTTCATATGTACATACAAAGTACAGAATTTCTGATTAGACTTGGCTTCTTCTTGCACCCACATAATTAATATAACAGGCTGAGATACACACATACAGCATATGTACATTAGGGTGGTTCAAAAATGCATGTGAAAAAGTAAAGTCGGAATTTTTATGCTCTCACCCCCAAGGATTATTCCATACCGAAAAAAAATAAAACCGTTTTTTTTTTTAAATCAAAAAATATTTAGAGGTCGCTCAAAGCTCTCAAAAGAGAGTCAGAAAGAGCATATTTCCCTTCATAGAAGGGCACTTCAATATGAGTCCAAGTTTGGAGTAATTTTCGAGTCTGAAATATGACGCTTTCTGAGTCCTTAAAACAAATGTTTTTTATACATAATTCTGATTACTAATAAACTTTCACTTCTACGTGAACTATGTTACTTATGTTCAACTCAGAATCAATGACATCAAAAGAGTCCGAAATGAGTTAGTCGGGTTGATTGGTCTCAGAATCATATTTTTAACGAAATAAAGACTCATTTTAGACTCGAAAAATTCTGCGCACTCAGAAAACTTTTTAAAGGGATCATCTAAGCTCTCGATATGGGTAAAATTTGTGTTAACCCAGCAGAAAATTTGTAACTGCTTTTTGTATGACTCAGCAGAAAATCTGTAATTGCTGATTATTGTGTGCAAATGTGCTATTCTGGCCTAGTTCACGCCTATTTCGAGATTAGCTCACGACAAGTTGAGGACCATTTCGGGATTATTTCGGGACCTGGGGCTGAATTCTGTGACTGTGAGCTTTTAACGGCTTTTCGATCATTTCAGATCCTGTTCAGGACCATTTCCAGACCTGTTTAGGTCTATTTCAGGATCATTTCGGATACTTATTCAGGAACATTTCGGGACTAGTTTTGGATCATTTTAGAACTAATAAGCGACCATTTCTGGCTTGTTTCAAGACTTGATCGAGATTTTTTCGGGGCAAGTTCGCGACTTTTTTCTGAACCACATCAGAACTACTTCACGCCAGTTTTGGGACTATTTAGGGATCATTTAGGCGTAGTTAGAAACTCTTAACGAGAGCAATTCCCGAAGAAGTTATGAAAAAGACGTGTACTGGACACGAAGAAATTAAATGGATGTTTAATATCAAACCTAACCTAATCGTATTTATATACATACTATTTAACTGAATCGTCTAATGGTTTGCCAAGCCGTACATCAAATTTCACGAGTACCTGGCACTCACGCCTTATTTTCAAGTTATTCAATCATTCCGTATATAAACAAATATGTTATAAAGGGCCTTTCTATATTAAGGTAACGATATATGTACATACGCATACATTTATGTTTTATTTAGTCATTATTATATTCTCAGTTCCGAGTCAACAGAGTTCAATTCCAATACGACTTTAAACCACTACCATTACTGCCTGGAAAATAAATGAATTTCTGATTACGAAATCAATAACTATACCTCATATGATATATTTAAAAGTAAGCAATTAAAATGTAATAATGTGTGATTACATATCTATGCATCTGCAATGAAATTTCTATTAAAATATGAAAGAAATATTTAGGCCCGTTGTTCGATAACTGCTATTTGGCAAATTTAAACTTTCGCAGACTTAGTACAGTTGAATCAGCCGATGTTATACTAATTGTAAGAATAAAGTATGTTACTGTTATGTTAACATATGTTTGTATGTATGTATATACCTTTATACACATACATTATGGATAGAAATGTAGCACTATGAAACGAACTCTGGCTCAAATGTCAAAGTTATATGCACTAATGTCCACCACTTCAGGTGCGCGCTGACTCGATGAATATCCATTAATATGAATTAACACATTTACTCTAACGGCTGACAGATTTAGTTATTGATTCTAGTCATTACATTTTTGACGGCTATGCGCCATTGTCAATCCAGCAGCAGGCATGAAAAAACGTATTTTTTGTGCATTGATCATCGGCAGCACTTTTATTGTAAGTGACAAAAATATAAAGAAGAAAAAATTAGACAGCAGAATTCATTTATATATACACATATACATACATACATACACTTAATGCAGTTTGCTGTAATGCCAGCGGTGGAGTTTACCAACGTCGAATGCATTGAACTCGACAAATCTTACACTACCTTCCCGCTTTGCCGTATAAAGGCTGTTAATCGCACTTATAAATACCTAACACTGCGTGCTAAATTTACAAGAAATGAGCCAGTTTACAATATTTCGGTACCTATGCAGAGAAAATACAAATTTTTACGAAAAAAAAAAACAAAATAAAAATAATATTAAAAATCTGAAAATTTTAGATGTCCTTCGCCTTGCTACGAAAAGCTAATGGCTATAAACCTTTTTTGTATAATTTCACCGTCGACGCATGCAAATATATGAAGAAACGCAATAATCCTGTTGTTAATTACTTTCACAGCTGGTTCGAGAAATATTCGACCATAAATAGAAGTTGCCCATATGGACCGGTAAGTCGTTAGCTATTTGAAATCATTTTGGTGCATGCATAAATAAATACATCCCAAAAAAAATTAAATAATGTCGCTTACAGCAAGATGAAATCGTTGATAAACTACCACTGGGTCACATCAATCACATGGCAACCGAAGTACTGCCAGTGCCAACGGGAGAATATATGTTTCACACCACATGGATGTTCTATCAAATAAAAGTAGCTTTTGTTAAGGCATTTTTTCGAATTTTATAAACTATAGTTAATCGAAAGTGCATTGACAATAAATACGCGTATAACTATTATTTATTGCCAATTCCGTTTGAAATGGCACCTATGCACCCTGAGTTAAATAAATGGAGCAGAGCAACCAAATTCATTACTTCTACATGGGGTAGGGTAATAAAATAAATTTTATTCAATTTCATCGTTATATTTATGACACGAAAAGTTAAAATATATAACATAAAAAATCCATAAGGTTATACTTACGGTGACCATATTTACCAACGTAAAATAAAGGATATTTTTTTTTCAAAATGAATGGGAATACGTACATACAACTTGTGTGATAAAAGTACCTTACCCATATCGTAATTTTAAATCAAATATTTACCAGTTAATTAACCAATTCCGAAGCCAGCGCACAGTGGTTCAAAATTGGAATTTAATGTTCATAATTCACCGGAGTTTTCATTTTTCAACCAATTTTTACTAAAAAACAAAAAAAAATGATTTGGTGAACATTTTTTTATAACATTTCAAACATTTTTTTTGTAATTTTTTCATTTTGGGAGAACCATACAATTGTTATCAACCAGTCTTTGTTATGTAACATTTATTAATAAGAACAGAAGAATACAATTTCTTCAAACTTGCCACTTTTTCTGCATTGTGCACTAAAAAATTTAATATAATCAAATAAAAATTCACAAATCAGGCTCAAGTGGTCTTTTGCAAATATTATAAACTTTCATAAAAAAATTATCAAATTAAGTGAAAAAAATGAAGGCTCCAATGAATTATGAACACTAAATGCCAGTTTTGAACCACTGTGCAGCAGGAGGTTTATTGTTCGCTTTCAGTGGAACGGGAAACTCAGCGTGTAACACGATCCTGTGCAACAACACTCCCTGTGCTTTATAGATTGTACAAAGATTACTGATTAAATAATAACCCTTAAGTGGCTGTGTTTAAAAATTTACCCCTGGAAAATGCCGAGCCGATTTAAAGGACAGTTTAAGAAATGAAAGACAAAAGGAATCCTTTATTTTGAAAAAAATTATAGAGGACAGGGGGTTAAAATAAAGGGCTGTCCTTTAAAATAAAGGACTGTCCTTTAAAATAAAGGACTGTCCTTTAAAATAAAGGACCGATGGTCACCGTAGGTATATTATTCTTAACTTGTAAAGCATAGACATTTTGTAAGTTTATGGCCTCGTAACTACTGTCAAAATTCGTATGGGTAATTTTAAGGAAGGTTAAACTCTAATTGGAATGGTTTAAATCCGCTCCTGCTTTTATAAATCAAATAGTTATTCTTCGTAAAGATAATTTATGTTTTGGGTTTTTACCTGATAAGTAGACATTTTGTTTAGCGCGGTGTGTTCATATGTTCTCTTTCGAAAGGCTCAAAGTCAAAATTCCTTAACGTTAACATCCTAAAATACTTAGTATTTTCTATATGAAGTTACCAAAGCTTATATTAAGAGAAATATACATTTTTATATCTATATGTATATATAAAAGTAAAGTCCGAATTTTAATGCTCTCACCTCCTATGGTTGTTCTATATCGAAAAAGTATACTCCTGTTTTTTTTTTTTTGAAAGCAAACAAATATTTTATATGGGAAAAAAACAGTTTTTCTCAGAAATAGTATAGAATTCCTGAAAATCAATATTTTTTGATCGGAACACTTTGTTTCTCACGAGCCTAATAATAATACCGAATTTTCTATTTTACCATTTTTTAATGATTTTTTATGGGTTTTTCGTGTACACTGGGCATCAACGCCTTTGGGGAAACCATCTCCTGGCAGTAAAACCATATACAGGATTTTGCAACCAAACTATTTATATTTTTATCAAAAATTGGCCGCAACCACTTGGCTTTTTACAAAATCGGTAATCGGTACTAAAAATTTGCATATTTCGAAATTGTTAGCCTGCCCAAAAAAGCGATTTCATTTTTGAAATTACCATAATAAAAAAATGGTAATGATCACTCCGCTTCTGTCAAAATTAGTAACCGGTATTGAAAACGCGGGGTTTCAAAATTGATATCCGGTACAAAAACAAAAAAAAACCGATTTAATTTTTTAAGTCACCTTGAAGTAGTCATTGTAGCAGTAAAATTTAACAAATCGCGACCACAGCGAGGAATAATTTTTAATCAGTTAAAAATATTTCCTATGGAATTGAAAGATAGGACATTTTCTTATTTGGAGTTTTTTGAACAGCATGATACTTTTTTATGCCGTGCAGAATTTATTCCTGGTACACCTAAAAATAGAGCCAGATTGACTGGGCTATATTTAGCTGGTTTTTTCATAACTTAACTGATTTTTATTGGATGTTGCAAAGAATGTAAACAAATGAGCGCAACGTTTTCATTTCTTTTAATTAGAACCGTTCATACTTATATACATACCCACCTACGTACGTACATAGAACATGAATCAAATAACTTGTTGAACGTTAGACAACCTACTAATGAAATAGCAATCAATAGGGGTATTCACCATCCGGTTCACACTGTCTAACATTGTGCATAGATAGCATAAATAGCATGATTGGCTAATTTTCTTGTTGTTTGAATACATTAAACAACAACAAAAATGCATTTTTATGCTGTCTTATGCACCAGTATGCTAGGCAGTATGCACCGGATCGTGAATACCCCTAATGAGTTATTGAATGCATCTTATGGATGTAAGTACATATGTACGTATGTATGTATGTTTCTGCATGTCTCATATCGGGCTTAATTGCGTGGTTTGTTTGTATGTATGTATAAAAAGAAAACTCCAGCACAAGCTATAAAAGCTAAGTAGAAAAATTCCGAACTGGTTAAGTATTACTATTCCATTTCCAAGCCGCGTAGCAACCATAATTTTTTTGTGTTCTAAATTCAGCAGCAGAACCAGTTGTTGTGGTGAAAACTGCATCTATGTAAATAAATATGCGCAAAAATGGAAGAAGCACAAACAACTGTTTTGGGGGGAAAAAATAGAAGAAAAACTTGCTTATGCCTTTGGCTTAAAGTGATGGAGGTTTTCACTTTGTTCTAAACAAAAGCCGACATATTCCTTTCTCCATAATCAGAACCTAAGCTGATGCTTAGGTATAAAATCTGGCATTGTGACATACCGGGTGCCGACATATCAGACAAGCTTCCGTACGATTTTTATTAGTTTGGAAGATACTGGGCATGCCGCTCACTTTCTTGCAAGGGAGTTTTTGCTGGCAGCAGCTGGGTTAATTACCAACATATTGAAATGCTTTCATCTAAAGGGCTTTAGAACAATGGTTAAAAACATGGTTTCTATCTTCAACGAACTACAAAGGAGTGTGTGTATAGGCATCACGGGCGCAAAGAGTACAACGTTATGAACAAAGCATTCCTTGTTGGATTTGCCGCCTCTGCATTAGCGAACCAAGCGGAGACAATGAATACGATTTATCGACTGAACTCTTCTTATTGAGGGACAAGTTTTGTCCCGGGCACAGAGAGTTGTTTAGAAGGTTATCAGAGCAGTACCACTTGTTTTTGGCACCTAATGATAAGTGGAAACCTGGAGTCCCCTTTGGAAGAAAGTAGGCCGTTAGCCTTACTACTAGGGAGAAATGGAGGGATCCAGACACTATCTTGGGGAGCTCGGTAAAAATTTGCTATATCGACGGTTCAAAGATTGATAATACTACTGGTGCCCGGTGGTATCTAGACAGTAGATAGATAGATGAGTAAGGTAAGCACTGCGACCAGTAGGTCTATTGTCTATAGTGTCCAGTACAGACTGTAACTTCCGATGCTTTTGGTGCTATGGCAACGGTCTTTCAATCGTACGTCCTTGCAATACTGAAAGTAGTAGACTGGATAACTGGCGAAAGGAGGCGTAAACATAAAATCGGGCTCTGCAGTGACAGCCAAGTTGTAAGTAAAGGCCTTGGAAAGCGCTCGCACTTCTTCAAACATGACCTTTAACCTGTGTGGGTGGCAGAAAAGTGTGCTTTTGAAGCCAACGTACGGGCTTATGAGCTTTGAAGTTTTCAACTGGAGTGGAGCTAATTTCAGCGCCAAGCACAGCGGATATATCGAAGATTTCATTAATAAAACTCAGTGGAGACCTTGGTCTGTTTGTTTTGTCCAGCTTTTTTTTTAAAGGCCTAACAGGCTTGAATAAATTCCTTCTCAAACAGGAAAGATGTGTGCCTTGATAGAACAAGTTACGGGGCACAATCCATGGAGACAATATATGGTGACCATAGGCATCATCGACTATGTACATCTTGTTTTGAAATTGAAGATAGTTCAGAACATTTTCCCTGCCACTGTTCGGCCTTCGCCAGACATATGTAGATGATACTTTTTCTTTCCCTCGACAAACGGGTAAGATTCTTGAAGGAGTCTCCATTCCATTACATATCATTCCAAGGATGTGGGTGTTTGATAGGTGATGCCTAGAGGTTAAAACACAGTTAGCCACGGACGTAAAAACGGAGAACGTGTCAACTAACACGATCTATCTTATGCTGACCACCGCATGACCGTGACGTAGACGTTGCTTCTCCCTCTTTCTATCAACAGCAAACTTGACATGTTTCTACGTACTTCTAAGCTACGTTACGTACACGTTCGTGGATAACCGCACTCTTAGTGCTAGAAATAGGCTCCGCGTTCACAGCAAAGCTTCACCAGCTTTTCGAAAGCTCTTCGTGAATGGGTGTTTAATCCTTAAGCTCGCGACATCTGAGCAACTTAGTAGCAGAAGGCTTTAGCTGCTGTTAAACCTTGCAGCATGAAGTCCGATCGAATAATGAGCAGTTAGAAATCCCACCAGTTTCATTCTGTTTTAAGAGCTCCATCGGGCTGCCGTCGGACTGCCCCCGGTCACTTGGAAGTTGCTACTTTGCATTCCAAGGTTTTCACCTATATGTCCAGAAGCAAACCACAAAACTAAAAGTTTTTTAGAAGAAAAAAAACTATAGCACTCCACAAACGAGTAATGTACCCCCACACTTAATTTATTTTGAATTTATTGCATACATATTCACAT